AGCTATTTTTAGTTTCAAAAGGAAAAATCAGTTAGACTCTCTCTTTTTTTTAAAGTTTATTTATTTATTTATTTTGAGAGAGAAAGTTCTCAAGCAGGGCAGAGAGAGACAGAGACAGAGAGGATCCCAAGCAGGCTCCGTGCTGTCAGTGTGCAGCCTGGTGCGGGGCTTGAACTCATGAATCGTGAGATCATGACCTGACCTGAAATCAAGAGTTAGATACTTAACCAACTGAGCCACCTAGGCATCCCTCGAACCTCTTTTTTTTTTTTTTTTTTTTTTTTTTTTTTAATTTTTAACTTTTTGCCATAAATAATGGCTAATGCTATTTTGAATGCCAGAAAATTTTCTTCTATTATTTGATAAAATCAAAGATTTATTCCAAAAACTAATTTTCTCAACATTAAATATTCATAATGTAAGTAAATTATAATTTTTTTTAATATGAAGTTTATTGTCAAATTGGTTTCCATACAACACCCAGTGCTCATCCCAACAGGTGCTCTCCTCAATACCCATCACCCACTCCCCTCCCTCCCACTCCCCATCAACCCTCAGTTTGTTCTCAGTTTTTAATTTTTAAAATTTCTCTTAAAAATTTATGCATTCACACTGTTGATCACCAGAATAAGAGTTAAATACATTGTTTAGACATCAGTTTCTTGATGTTTTGAATAATATTTTCTGGCAGTTTCTTCTGTTTCATAGCCTGAGTATATGGTACTTGGCTAGCTTCCATCTCATTAAAACTCATGCTATTGAAAGGATATCAGCATTTCCACTGAGAATTATAGTAGTATCAGTTTTAGCAAAACCTCATCTCATTATGTAAAACTATGCTGGTTTAAGAGTGAGGAATTTGCAAACTGTATAGCTTCAAAGTAATTAGTGAGTTGTTCTCGGCTGCCCCTTGGATTTTTCTCTTTTTGGAAAAACATCAGTGCCTGGAGACTTGAATTTGGATATTCTACACTTAATGAATGACAATTTTCCATTCCTTTTTAACACTTCCTATAGAATTATATTTTAGATATAAATATAAGTGAAAATTCCTGCACTTGCCATTAATGTTCTTTCAGTAAAAACAATATTTTTAAATTTCTACTAAGGAAAAGCACTGCTAGGCTTTTCCATGATCTTTATGTGGCTGTTCTTTATAAATAAGTTCAATTCAAATTTATTTTTTAGAGTGAAGTTATTGAGGGGTGCCTGGGTGGCTCAGTTGATTGAATGGTGACTTCAGCTCAGATCATGATCTCGCGGTTTGTGAGTTCGAGCCCCACTTCAGGCTCTGTGCTGACAGATCAGAGCCTGGAACCTGCTTTGGATTCTGTGTCTCCCTCTCTCTCTGTCCCTCCCCCCTCCCCGCTTGCAGTCTGTTTCTCTCTCTCTCTCAAAAATAAATAAATATTTTTTAAAATTATATAAAAAAAGAAGTTATTGAGAAATGTGCTGTGATTGAAATTATGAAGCCATTTATATATCACTAAATACATCATATATTTCTTTTGAAATAAATGAGAATCAATTGCTTATTTTTTATAACACTGATAATTTGGTAACTGATATCATTATGATATTTATACTACATTTTGATACATATGTATGTATATACATATATATGTACTCACATATTTGTATATATGTTTAAAATTATTTATGATTTTTAAAATTAGTGTGGTAGAGAGTAGTTAGCACATAAACTTTAAAAAGTGACATCCTTTCATTTTAATTTATTAGGTGACATAAGCTATTCTTTCAAAATATTATATTGGAACAGAGATGTACCTATCATTTGACATAGTAGATTTTACAGTCAATTAACAGTCTTGCTTTCTGTACATGAAACAGTAGCCACATGCAATCATGTGCTGACCTGTCTGGTTTTGAGTTCAGCCATACATTTTCCAAGGGAAGTTTGCACAGGTTGTAGTGCTTAGGCAAGGCTTCATGGAAGATGCGGGTACACTTTAAAGAGAAGAAAGAGTTGCTGAGGCAGAGAGCAGGGCTGGTGACTTGATGAGAGCCTCAGCCTAGAGAACAGGTGAGAAGTCACAGCACAAGGAGGAGGAAAGCAGCAAACAGTGGCAGGGCCACAGGGGAACAGAGTGGAAAATGTCATTGTTCGATAGGGGTCAGTTTAAAGAGAAGCGCTAAAGCAATCCTCTATGTTTTCCCCTGATTCATTGGGGAGCTAACAAAGGCTTTTGAAGTAAGGAATGGCCTGATGAAAAATGTTGAAGGAAGAGTCAGCAGGGTGTGAAGAGAGCAGTGCCAGACTCAAATAGTCGAGGGAGGGAAGGAAGGAACACCCAGGTTGCAGAGGTGTCTGTCCCAGGGCACGTGGTGTGCAGGGTCAGAAGCATCACCCTGGTAGATGAACTTGTGTTCCTCTATGTTCTGTGGAAAGAATACACCATGTTCCTTTTAAAGTAAGCCCAATATTTTATTACTACAAGTTACATGTGGCTATGGTGATTTTCTTTACCTGGGGTGTGGGTAAAGGGTAATATCATTAGTGGGAATGTGGGGTCTTTTAGGCTGCAGTGCTGGGTTCTCTTAGCTGATCTCAGTCTGATTGTGGAAGAAGGGAGAGTGTGAAAAGCTTATGCTTGTTTGTGATATTGGCCCTGTAAATGACCCATGCGGGGAGGGGGGTCTATGTGGACATGTGCAACTTGATCTTTTTTTCCCACCAATTTATCATATTTTCTCAGTTGGTTATTTTTATAAGTAGTAACAAGGGATTATGGTATAATTATGAACTAATAATTTTTACTTCCTTACTAATTCCATTGATACTTATCTGACATGTATTAAAAAGTTCTGCTACTTTATATAGGATATGAACATGAACTAAATATGTACAGATAAGAAGAAAGGTACACAAATTCCTTTTCAAAACAGATGGCAGGGCGTCTGGATGGCTCAGTTGGTTGAGCATCCAACTTCAGCCCAGATCATGATTTCACGGCTTAGGGATTCAAACCCCTCGTGGGGCTCTGCACTGATAGCTCAGAGCCTGGAACTTGCTTTGGATTCTGTGTTTCCCTCTCTCTCTGCCCCTCCCCTGCTCTCTCTCTCTCTCTCTCTCTCTCTCTCTCTCCCTCTCTCAAAATAAATAAACATAATAAAATAAAAATAAAACATATGACAATTTCCTGATGGGGGAAATCTTCTGCCATTTGAATCCTTATTTTATCAGAAATTGTTATTATTAACAGGATTATGGCACACACACATATCATATATATATTATATATATTATAACATATATATTATATTATAGAGTAATATCTAACATAATTCTTTCCTGGCTCAAGTATAACTTGGAATTTTTTTAAGTTTATTATTTATTTTGAGAGAGAGAGAGAGAGTGCAAGCAGGGGTGGGGCAGAGAGACAGAGGGAAAGAGAGAGAATTCCAAACAGGCTCTGCACTGTCAGTGACGAACCAGATGTGGGGCTCGAATTCAAATCGCGAGACCATGACCTGAGCTGAAGCTTAACTGACTGGGCCACCCAGGCGCCCCACTATAAGTTGGACTTTTTAAAGACCCTCAATATACAGAATCATTTGAGAATGCATTTTTGGAATAGTCAATCTGGTCGCAGATACCTTGTGGTGATTTTGGAGCTAAAAAGACTACAGGCATCATGTCTGCCTCTACTCAGAACTCACCAAATAAAATAAGGCCATTTGAGAAAAAACAAAGAAACAAAAAACAAGTACAGTGCCACAAAGTTATTTCTCTAAACCACCTTTAACGTTTTGTGTCTCACCTCCTGTCCACCCACCATTACTATTTAGTGACTGTCAGGGAGATGAATGAAAAGTGTCACTTTATT